GACCATGATTCTCGACCGGGAAAGGGTGGCTTGCCAACTCTGGGTCGGGAAAATGGTCCTACCTCAAGTGGAGGAGTTTAAGTATCTCGGGGTCTTGTTCATGAGTGAGGGTAGGAGAGATCGGGAGATCGACAGGCGGATTGGTTCAGCGTCTGCAGTGATGCGGACGCTGAGCCGATCTGTCGTGGTGAAGAGGGAGCTGAGTCAGAAAGCCAGGCTCTCGATTTACTGGTCGATCTACGTCCCAATCCTCACCTATGGTCATGAGCTTTGGGTAATGACCAAAAGAACAAGATCACGAATACAAGCGGCCGAAATGAGTTTCCTCCGTAGGGTGGCCGGGCTCAGCCTAAAGCCCCCTTCAGACAGGCCATGAAAAACGGAAATGTTCCGGACTCTGTCCGTAAGACCTTTGTGTCGGAATACAAACATCCGGATAACGTGTTCCGAAATTTAACCGGATGAAGCCCCTAGTAACAGGTCCGGACTTGTTACCGGGGGACGCCGTGCGCACCTAGATAGCTCGCTGCTGTAGCATGCGGCAAACCATGGCAGCTCGCCTCCTACGGTACCGCCTAGACGTGCAACGGAGCGCTTCACACCGCTTCAGTGATTCCTTTAACCATTGAGCTTCATCATCCCGGTCTCTTATGCGTCTTCGTGTGCGCAGAATTATGCTTAAGCGCCTCGTGATTTTTATCTTGAGAGGCGCTATAGAAATGATATTTTCTTCTTCTGCTTCTTCTTAACATAAGTCCGATTCTACCCCCCCACCCCCCGCCGCCGTCAGACATCTGGAACTTTTCCCTGCTGTGTGAACGCAGCCAAAAGGACAAGTTCTGGTACAAAAGTGGTGTGTCTGAAAACACAGTTCCGGTTAAAAAACGGATTGAATTGTATGCAAATGTTCCAGAATGTGTATCTGAAAAGGGCTTTAGAGATAGGGTGAGGAGCTCGGACATTCAGACTCAGAGTAGAACCGCTGCTCCTCCAGATTGAAAGGAGTCAGTTGAGGTGGTTTGGGCATCTGGTCAGGATGCCTCCTGGACACCTCCCTGGGGAGGTGTTTCGGGCATGTCCTGCCGGCAGAAGGCCCCCGAGTCGACCCAGGACACGTTGGAGAGGTTACATCTCCAATCTGGTCCGGGAACACCTTGGGGTCCTGGCAGAGGAACTGGTGGAGGTGGCTGGGGAGAGGACGGTCTGGAGCTCCCCAGTTGGGATGCTTCCCCCGTGACCCAGACCTGGATAAGCGGAGGAAGAAGACGATGAAGATGAGGAAATTATGTAAACAGTCCTAATAAGGAATCATTTGACTGGTATTCTCTCTCATCAGAAGATTCGGTGTCCTATTATGATTGCACTGATCAAATGTTAAGCAGCATCAAATTAAGAAGAAAAGCAGTTATGTGCACAGATGCTAACTGCTCCAACACTGAGCACAAAAAAGATATAAACTATGTACTGTGACATTGTCCAAGCATTACTTGATGCAAGCTAGTGTTTCACTCAAAGCAGAAAGAAAAGTAAAATTAAAGCTGCAAGCAGCGTCGTTCGGCCCTCGCAGCGAAGCTGCTCGTCCTCCGTCCGCACCCCCTCCGCTCCATCCCCGATGCTGTCCAAACCCAGCTCCCCACCGCTCCTTCCTGTCCGGCAGCCCGGGACACCAGGGCACATCCACGGAACAGAAACGTCCACCAGAACAGAATTCGCCATGGCATCAAAGCCCATCCCTTTCTGAAAAGCTATCAGATCTGAATGGTCATTACAACATCATGAAGACAGTGCATGACCTTAGTGTCATGTTGACTAAATTAGAGGGGACAAATAAGGGCATTTCACCATAAAAAATAGACTTCCTGTAGTCAGGGGGCGGGGCTTAGGTGATGTCAGCTGTCCACATTGTCATTGTCTTGAGATGTGGTCAATGATCACACAGACACAGCTTGATATAGATCTGATCATGCACATGGGAGTTGTTAAGTCAAGTAATGTAATGGCGAAAGGTCAAAGTTTGAGGCTTAGCCACGCCCACACCTTTGTACTCATTTAAAGTCCGACGGTTGAAAATTTTCCCCGTTGTCTTAAGAGTATATAGCAGAAGTTTGAAGGCGATTGGTGAAAAGGGGGATGGTGCAACACTCTCTAAACAACGTGTGCGAAAACCACTAAATCGAGTACTTGGACCAAAATGGCCGACTTCCTGTGCGACTTTGCGCTTGGCTCCAAGAGACGTTTTTGTAGGACCTGAGACACCACATTAGTGTACCAAATTTCGTGATCCTCAGTCAAAGCGTGGCTTGGGGCTGACAGTTTTAATGGTCCTAGGGGGCGCTATTTCAGAAAATAAACCACGCCCACAAACTTCAGCTGTCCAGTTCTATTGGGGGTCAGACTAGGATCACTCAACAGACATTTTGTGGCGATGTCACGATAATTGAAGAAATAAGAGGCAAACGTATAGCCATGGTGTGATGGCGAACTTCCCCATGCTCCCAAAGCCCCACCTTTTTTCAAAACCTGCCAGTACTGGAGACTAAGTGACCTCAACTTGTCAGCTGCTATTTGCCAGAGATTGCTGGTGATTGGGTAAAAGGAGTCCAATAGGTAGCTGTGAAAAAAAGAGTGGCGTGGTGACAGGTCAAAGTTTGAGGCATAGCCACGCCCACACCTTTATACTTATTTAAAATCCGACAGTTGAATTTTTTCCTTTATGTCTTAAGAGTATATAGCATAAGTTTGAAGGCGATTGGTGAAAAGGGCGATGGAGCATCACTCTCCAAACAACGTGTGCTAAAACCACTAAATCGAGTACTTGGACCAAAATGGCCGACTTCCTGTGCGACTTTGCACTTGGCTCCAAGAGACTTTTTTGTAGGTCCTGAGACACCACATTAGTATACCAAATTTCGTAATCCTCAGTCAAAGCATGACTTGGGGCTGACAGTTTTAATGGTCCTAGGGGGCGCTATTTCAGAATGTAGGCCACGCCCACAAACTTCAGCTATCTATTTCTATCGATGGTCAGACTAGGATTACTCACAACAAATTTCGAGGTGATATCACGATAAATGAAGAAATGAGAGGCAAACGTATTTCCATGGCATGATGGCAAATTTCGCCATGCTCCCAAAGCCCCGCCTTTTTTCAAAACCTTCCAGTAGTGGAGACCAAGTGACCTCACCTTGTCTGCTGCTATTTACCAGAGATTCCTGGTGATTGGGTAAAAGGAGTCCAATAGGGAGCTGTGAAAAAAAGAGTGGCGTGGCGAAAGGTCAAAGTTTGAGGCTTAGCCACGCCCACACCTTTGTACTTATTTGAAATCCGACAGTTGTATTTTTTCCTCTATGTCTCAAGAGTATATAGCAGAAGTTTGAAGGCGATTGGTGAAAAGGGCGACGGAGCATCACTCTCCAAACAACGTGTGGGAAAACCACTAAATCGCACACTTGGACCAAAATGGCTGACTTCCTGTGCGACTTTGCACTTGGCTCCAAGAGACTTTTTTGTAGGTCCTGAGACACCACATTAGTGTACCAAATTTTGTAATCCTCAGTCAAAGCATGGCTTGGGGCTGACAGTTTTAATGGTCCTAGGGGGCGCTATTTCAGAAAATAAGCCACGCCCACCGGATGTTCACATCAGATCTTTTGGGGGGCCGGACTAGGATCACTCACAAGAAGTTCCGTGACGATATCTTTAGAAATGACGAAATGGGAGGCAAACGTAAGGCCACGGCGGTACGTCTGACTTCGCCCGCGCCGCCACAACCCCGCCCTCTGCCGAAAACTCCCATAAAGTGACGCCAAGCAACCCCCACTTGTCTTGAGTTACTAGCTACAAATTCGTGGTGATTAATTGAAATGGGGCAATTTGGGACCTTTCCCAGTAAAACTTGATCTTTTTGGTCCTGAGGGGGCGGGGCTTGTGTGATGTCATCATCCGACCATTCAGTTTACTTTGTGGGTGGATGACAAATGACCACAGAAAGTTTGGTAGTTCTATTCCATTCAGTTATGAAGTTATAGCAATTTAAATTTTTTTGGCGAGTAGTCAAACTTCGAGGCCTGGCCCCGCCCCTTCAACATATACGAAAAGTCAGAATCCTTGTCTCATTTTGTTCGCCCATCCCTTCTGAGCAATTTTACCCAATTTTTGAGACGATCGTGCGAAAAATGATCGAGCTATCCAATCAGAAACGGACCCTAAAAACGGCAAAAACGGCTAAAAATCGCCATTTCAACCCAAAATGGCCGACTTCCTGTTTGATATTGACCATGCTTGCAAGAGACTTTTCTATGCGGACTTTTGAGTACTACGAGTGTACCAAATTTCATAACTGTACGATAAACTAAGCTTTAAGGAGAGGGTTTTTTTTCACTTTGTAGGGGGCGCTGTTCAGCCATTTTCTTTGCGATTTTTTTGGGACCTTTAAAATATCAAAATTTTCACCAGGCCTGACAAGTGTGCAAAATATTGTGAATTTTGGGGTATGTTAAGGTCCCCAAAAATGCCGTTCAAAACGGGCTAAGAATAACAAAAAAGAAAGAAAGAATTAAAGCTGCAAGCAGCGTCGTTCGGCCCTCGCAGCTCCGCGCCGCTCCGGCCTGGCTGGCAGCCCGGGGCACCAGGGCACGTCCGCGGAACAGAAACGTCGACCACCCCGACACCAGAAACCGCAAGCGATCACCTCGTCCGCATCTCACTCTGACTCAGCATTCCCTCTGAGCACACCATTATATTACACGTCTCACAACTAGGGCATACTCTACCTTTACGACTCTGGTGGTGTGATGACACAGACCAACTGTAATGCTTTTCTGACCACGCTGTTTGAAGTTATTGTAGGTTAAACTTATCTTGGTGTACTGGAAAGCTTTCAGATCTTGACAAATATGGGCATTTCACCATAAAACAATAGACTTCCTGTAGTAGGGGGCGGGACTTAGGGGATGTCAGCTGTCCACATTGTCATTGTCTTTACTCTCTAAAAACTGCTGGGTTATTTAATCTACTCAACTGCTGGGTTATGAAATGTGTAACCCATTTTGGGTTATTTGAATGAGATTTGGGTTATTTTTGTGCAACAGTTGGGTTATTTAATCTACTCAACTGCTGGGTTATGAAATGTGTAACCCATTTTGGGTTATTTGAATGAGATTTGGGTTATTTTAGTGCAACTTGACCCAGCACCTGGGTTGTTGTACTTGTTTGAACCGGTTTGAACATCATTACATCTACAGTCATCCTCCACAACGCAACGCCAGGATCCATTTTGTCTTCGATCTGAGTGGGGGAAAACATCCTCGTTGCGAGGTAAATCAACAATAAGAGGTTTGTATTGTTTGTGTTTACTATCTGATTCCCGTCACGTCTGTGCCGCGTTACCTGTTGAATGTTGTTGAGGCTCTGTTGGTTGGTTTGGGTAACAATGTAGCTAGCTAGCCATTTAGCGGTTGTCTTTAGCCTTTTCTAGTGTCAGTAGCTTATCTGTGTCGTTCATAAACTGCTATTCTGATTACTTTTTTACATTAAAAAATCCAGTGGAACTTCTGTACTTTGCATTTGAACTAATGAATAGAGTGTGGCTAATGAAACAGTCGTGGGGTGTGGGGGAGGAGCGGGAAATTGCTCCCAGCTAGCTCCCGGCTGGGTAAAGGAGATGAAAGGAAAATTAAGACGCTTAAAGTATTTAAAATGTCTTAAATTGACTTATTAAAGTCTTAAATTTGGTTAGTATTGACGTGGGTTTAAAATACATTCATCTCACACTTGCAAATTTGACGCTTTTCGGCGAAAACTGCCGTTTATGAAGCCAAATATAACGTTCACGTGAGTCTTTGGTCGGGTTTCAGTCGCTCTCTATAAGAATCGGTTTCAGAAAAAGGAGGAGTGTTCATCCTGTTCACAAACCATCTTTGTTAGTGGGTCATGAGTCGTCATTTGATCAAATACAGTCACGGAGATAGCTAGGCAAAACACTGCGGTAGCCGGTATCGCTGTGCTGCTCCTACTGCTGCTTCAACATCTCACAGCGGTTGGAGCTTGAAGTTCGTAAGTCAAACAAAATCCTCTCCAAATACTAAAGTATTCTATGAAGAACTTTTGCAGGGTTTTCTCCTTTCACGTTCAGCCTAAACTGATGTTTCCCGAGGCTTGTGTTCTTTTTTGGGGGGTGAGTTGAGTTCAAGTGTTGGGTCAAAAACAAGTTTCCCAGTAATTAGACAGGTTCATCCTAAACCCAAAGAAGATTCTGACTCAGACTAGATGCTGCGGTTGTTGTTTCAGATACATTCAAGCTAAATCATTTTAGGCACGTCTTCCCTACATATATTATATAAGGGATTTGAAATTAAGAAGAAAAAATAAAGTACTTTGAAAACAGTATGGAAATGTTTTCAATGAATGAGATGTTGATAATAGTTGGGGGGGGGGGGGGGGGGGGGGACACAAATAGATCTAAAAATGTTACTTGTACTTTTACTATCATTCTGTTGTGGATAGTCAGCACAAATATTCAGATTATATATAATCTCTTTTAAATATTGGCTTCTAGGCCAGTGTACAATCATTATCAAACCATTATATACATGTTTTAACATAGAAAGGTAAACATTTCAGGTGATGACCCCTTTAAAAAGTTCACCCAATAACTGGAATCTACGTGTTCAAAATTTTTCATCATGTATGTGTTTGCATGTCAGAATCAAATTCTTGTGTTTTTTTTAACAGTGTACCATATCTGACGAGCGCGCATCACAGCTTAAAGAATGGTGAAGAAACAATTGCCAGCCCCTCAGTCAGGTACAGGACTACATGCAAGACACTGCAGTCTACAGGGCCAAGTGCATTAGGGACAACAATTGGACCATCTACCAGATCCTCCAAGAATTCCCTCACCTAATGAGCAAAGGCATGGTACGTTTAGAGAAATAATAATTAACATGTGATGACGATGATTGTTTTTTTTATTAGTATGCCACATTGAATTTGTTTAAAAAAGGTTTCCTATTTTGTACATTGCACAGGACTTTCTTATCCTGCATGGGGATGCTTCATCAAAGTTGTTTGAAACTTGGCTACCCATTTATGCGGAGAAAATCCTTTACCTGTCAAGACGGGAGGGAAAGCTGATCTCGTCCCTGGATGGGTTAACACAAGGTAATATATTCTTGCTTGCCATCTTTGCAATTGTCAATATGGTTTGTGTCAATGTAAGGTTTCCCCAATGAGGCTGGTCTCCCTCACTAGGCTATTTTAGTCCAACTGGTGTCGAAAGCCTGCAACAAGACCCCTAGTCTAACTGATGGGCACATTACTCACCTGGGCTGTGATGGACTTTCTGTAATAGCGCATGTGGCGCAGCACCACATCTGGGCCATTGTAGGGGAAACTGTGCAGTGCTCGTCTCTTACAGATATGTCTCCACCAATGTTTACTGGTCCTATCATTTTAATGTATACTGAACAAAAATATAAACGCGACACTTCTGTTTTTGCTCTCATTTTTCATGAGTTGAACTCAAACACCTAGAATTTTATCTACAAACACAAAATACCCATGACTTTCAAATATTGTTCTGAAATCTGTCCACATGTGTGTTAGTGGGCACTTTTCCTTTAACAAGATAATCCCAATCCCAGTCTAAGGCACACCTGCACATTATTCATAATGTCTAGTTAGCCCCTTGATATGCCACACCTGTGAGGTGGGATGGATTATCTTGTTAAAGGAAAAGTGCTCACTAACACACGCAGACAGATTTCAGAACAGTATTTGAGAGTCATGGGTATTTTGTGTATGTAGATAAGGTTTCAGATGTTTGAGTTCGGCTCATGAAAAATGGGAGCATAAACAAAAGTGTTGCATTTATATTTTTGTTCAGTGTAGTAATTGTCCCTGGCAATTTGTGCGTGCCATCCCTCTCCCTGCTTTCAGAGTGGTCGGAGGTGCGCCACAACCTCACCACCCCCTTCCTCCTTGTCTCACAGCAATCAGAGGTATGGTGCGTGTTGGTGCGCGCGTACCACATGCGCACATTTTGCAGTCTTTTAGCGGCTCTAGAGCCTGCAGGTACAGTCTGTGTCATTCTCTCCGGCTCCTGCAGGAGGGAGTCGGCTCCTATCGGTCACATCAACGAGCTGGCTCTGAGAGCCATTTTGTTCGCGACAGACATGTCACTATAACCATCCACAGGGTGGGAATTGGCTGCATGTAACTGTTACCATAGGTTTCATGTTATTTGGATACCAAATGACAAATCACATGTATGCCATTCCACATTATATTCTCACCTATATTGTCTTCAACAGATGCCATTGGTGAACTCAGCCTGAGGCAGTTGCCATGCTTGCTCCCTCCAACTGCTTACAAACTCGGCCGTGGCCACAGTGCTATAATGGTTCGCCACACCATTGAAGAATGTAACTTGGCCTTCATCGACCATAAACCTGTAAGTCTTCCAGTACATCTAAAGGCAAACTTTTATCTTTTCATTAACATATACCTGTTATTCTTTGGCTCATGAATGTGTGTGCGCAGACGCACACGCACGCGCGCACACACACACACACACGCACGCATATCCAAATTTGTTATTCTATACCTCCAAATATTGTCAAGTCATCTACAAGCTTGTGTTGGTCACTCTAAAAACATCTTATGCTTTTAAAACAAGGCTGCAGTGCCACTGAATGATCGCCTCGTTGCCACACCATACTGACTCAGAAGTTAACATATTTATATGTTAACACTTTTGTGTTTTAATCCATTCAGACCTTGCTGTATGGTTTTGGTCCATTAGAAGTAGAATTATAAACATTTAAAGTTTCCTCTGTGTCAGAACCGCATTAGAATCCAGATTTTTCTCCGGATTAAACAGGGGATGAATATCGGTATCGGCCGAAGGTAGTCATTTTTTTTACATATCGATATCGGTTCGATAAATAAAACCGGGCCGATATTAACAACCAATATTTTTTCCATCTTGTCTCCATTTGTTTGCCTGTTTCAGAGAGTGAGGGGGGGGGGGGGGTGATGTGTGTGTTAAGTGTCTTGCCCAAGGACACAATGACAGCGATAAACTGAGCGGGGCTTAAACACGCAACCTTTCGATTACGGGGCAAGCACTTAACTCCTGTGCCACTGTCACCCAGTTGACGTTGGTAGACATTTGTTCCTTACTCACGCATTCCTTCTCATCTGTTTTTTGTTATGCTTTCTTTCTCTGTTTTTTAGCCTGGAACTAACATGGTGGAATACCTCCACGAGGCCAAGGCCACAAGACCATTCCCCTATGTGCTGACATTGGGAAATGATACGCAGCATGTGTCTCAGGCCTTTGTCATCATTGCTGGTCAGGCTGTGGAACATGACACACTGCTTCAGGCCGTCGATGCCTGCTTCAAGGCATTCTTTATTTTAGACATTGAATACCCGAGGCAGTGTGAACACGTCTGGAAATTCCTGCAAACGCTGCATAACGCTACACCACCGTCTATGAAATCCCAGGAGGGGAGTCGAAACTAGTAAAGTTTCTGCAGAGTAGAATACGTGCTAGCAAAAGAAGCAAATAGGTATTTGTAAAATGTACTCTTGACCATTTAAATGTTGTTTAGCACTGAGTTACATGTATTTCAGTGTACATTGTTGCAGTTCTTGATGTGAAGTGATTAGAACTTTTATATTGTTTACATTTATATGAATAAATTTCAAGGCAGTGCCTTGTAAAGATTTCAGTATTGTTGAAGTTTTATTGTATTGTATATGCTTTACGTGACCAAGTCTAGCATGTATGTTTTGATAGTTGAGTATGGAGAGGTGCAATTTTCTGTCTTCCAAAATGCACTGTATGTAATGAGTTAGAAATAATTTGGCGTATTGACCAAACATTTGGATTGATTACTGAACATTATGTTGTTTAAACAACCCATAGTTTAATTAATTTGACCCAGCATTTAGGTAGAGTAAATAACACATATTTAGTTGAAACAACCCAAAATAGTGGTTAATTTGACCCAGCATTTAGATAGAGTAAATAACACGTATGTGTGGTTGAATTTACCCAGATTTGTGGCTATTTTGACCCAGAATTTGGGTGGAATATTTAACTCATCTGCTGGGTTAAAATGGAGGAACCCATCTTGCTGGGTTAAATTAACTACTGCTGGGCTGGTGCAATATTGCTCCAGCGGCTGGGTTAAAAAACAGCCCAAATTGGGTCATTTTTAACCCAACTGTTTTTAGTGTGTAGATGTGGTCAGTGATCACACAGACAAAGTTTGATATAGATCTGATCATGCACATGGGAGTTATTAAGTCAAGAAATGTAATGGCGAAAGGTCAAAGTTTGAGGCTTAGCCACGCCCACACCTTTCAACTTTTGAAAAATCCGACGGTTGAATTTTTTTCCCTATGTCTTAAGAGGATATAGCAGAAGTTTGAAGGCAATTGGTGAAAAGGACGATGGGGCATAATACTCCAAACAATGCCTGCGAAAACCACTAAATCGAGTACTTGGACCAAAACGGCCGACTTCCTGTACAACTTTGCACTTGGCTCCAAGAGACTTTTTTGTAGGTCCTGAGACACCACATTAGTGTATCAAATTTCGTAATCCTCAGTCAAAGCATGGCTTGGGGCTATTAGTTTAAATGGTCCTAGGGGGCGCTATTTACGGAAATAGGCCACGCCCACAAACTTCAGCTCTCTATTTCTCTTGGGGGTCAGACTAGGATCACACATCAGAAGTTTCGTAGCGATATCACGATAACTGAAGAAATGAGAGGCAAACGTATTTCCATGGCTTGATGGCGATTTTCGGCATGCTCCCAAAGCCCCGCCTTTTTTCGAAACCTGCCAGTACTGGATACCAAGTGACCTCAACTTGTCAACTGCTTTTTGCCAGAGACTCCTATTGATTGGGTAAAAGGAGTCCAATGGGGAGATGTGAAAAAAAGAGTGGCGTGGTGAAAGGTCAAAGTTTGAGGCTTAGCCACGCCCACATCTTTCAACTTTTGAAAAATCCGACGGTTGAATTTTTTCCCCCATGTCTTAAGATTATATAGCAGAAGCTTGAAGGCGATTGGTGAAAAGGGTGACGGAGCATCACTCTCCAAACAACGTGTGCGAAAACCACTAAATCGCGCACTTGGACCAAAATGGCCGACTTCCTGTGCGACTTTTTGCTTGGGTCCAAGAGACTTTTTTGTAGGTCCTGCGACACCACATTAGTGTACCAAATTTCGTAATCCTCAGTCAAAGCATGGCTTGGGGCTATCAGTTTAAATGGTCCTAGGGGGCGCTATTTAAGAGAATAGGCCACGCCCACAAACTTCAGCTGTCTATTTTTTTTGGGGGTCAGACTAGGATCACTCACCAGAAGTTTCGTAGTGATATCACGATAACTGAAGAAATGAGAGGCAAACGTATTTCCATGGCGTGATGGCGATTTTCGCCATGCTCCCAAAGCCCCGCCTTTTTTCAAAACCTGACAGTACTGGAGACCAAGTAACCTCAAGTTGTCTACTGCTGTTTGCCACAGAATCCTGGTGATTGGGTAAAAGGAGTCCAGTAGGGAGCTGTGAAAAAAAGAGTGGCGTGGCAACAGGTCAAAGTTTGAGGCTTAGCCACGTCCACACCTTTCAACTTTTGAAAAATCCGACGGTTGAATTTTCCCCCCTATGTCTTAAGAGTATATAGCAGAAGTTTGAAGGAGATTGGTGAAAAGGGCGACGGAGCATCACTCTCCAAACAACGTGTGCGAAAACCACTAAATCGCGTACTTGAACCAAAATGGCCGACTTCCTGTGCGACTTTCCACTTGGCTCCAAGAGACTTTTTTGTAGGTCCTGAGACAACACATTAGTGTACCAAATTTCGTAATCCTCAGTCAAAGCATGGCTTGGGGCTGACAGTTTTAATGGTCCTAGAGGGCGCTATTTCAGAAAATAGGCCACGCCCACCGGATGTTGACATAAGATTTTTTGAGGGGCCAGACTAGGATCACTCACAAGAAGCTTCGTGACGATATCTTTAGAAATGACGAAATGGGAGGCAAACGTAAGGCCACGGCGGTACGCCTGACTTCGCCGCGCCGC